ATGGGACGAGAGATGAAGTAGGTAGTGTGGGGGGGGGGGGGGGGGGTAAATAAGTCATACTTGCATTAAAAGGCAGCTTTTGCATAAAAGGAAGAAATGTTGATTATTTCTGACCCATTCAATTTAAAATCAACTATCCTTAAACAAATAGGAAACAGGACAGGGGAATAGTATTACTGACGATAAAGCATCACTTCACTTTTAATTGGTCTCTTCTCCCCCGCTCTTCAAATTAAGGCTACCAGAACTAACACAAGGAACATATACATCCTCCTAAATCCATAAGGATTACCCCATCTAGCAAGCAGGTCCAAGCTAAGCAAGTCAACATCTCTTCATATGTGTTTTAAGGAGCTTGGATGCTGTTTAGGAAGTTTGGAAGAAACTTAGATATTTGTTTAAGGATAGTTGATTTTAAATTGAATGGGTCAGAAATAATCAACGTTTCTTCCTTTTATGCAAAAGCTGCCTTTTAATGCAAGTATGACTTATTCCCCCCAAATTTGATAAGGGGAGCAGCGAAGAGAAGCTTGATGTATTAACATTACCTTTAATAAGCTGCTGGACTAGTGCGCTGTTTGGCCCCTTGTCAGTACTATGCACAATACAGTTTGCTATCCTTGTTAAATGACCCATATAGCCATGCCGCCTTCCTCCTTCAGCCCTGCAAGAGAGGAGAGGAGTTCACACTGTTCGCATTCAGAGTAACTCTGTTAGTATGTTTTGTTACAAAATACTATGGTGAAGTCAAGGAAGTTATACAAGACAAATAACCTAAAAGTTCTCAAGCTGAAGGTTCACAGGAGTACTCAAGAATTTAAGACAAACTGGTTAGGCTACCCTCAGCCAGTTTAGAAGACTAACAAGCATGTCAATTATCAAGAAGGAAGAGCAGAATATTTGACATTACTTCTGCTTCTACATTTTTTCGTATGGGAAAACAAAGAACTTGCAGCGTGGTCAAGATCAAGACAAAATTAACAGACCCATAGTTATAGGGGAAAAACCTCAACTGTGGAAAAGTATTTTTCACCATTCCAATACATAAAGCATTGTTATAGCTCTGGGTCTAAGACTATCGAAAGAAACGAATTCCTTGCACCCTATATATTCTAATACCATAGGAGTCTCTTACAATTATTTCTAGTAGGCCCAGCCAGAAAGGTATGACCAACTGAAAATTAAGTCAGGACTACTGCTTTCCTGAGGTTTACAAGTGATATTTAAGTACCCACTAAAAGTTAAAATCCGATCTGATATTTTTATGTGACAGAAGTGCTTTCCAGAAAGAGGAAGTATCAGCTTTAGACTAATATTAGTTTTAGGTAGCTATGATTAGCTGGAACTGCTCTAGATCTGGCCAAAGAACTAAAATTATAACCCCAAACCTGGACTGAACTTCTAGCATTTAACTAGAAACTAGTCAAATATTTGCTTTGTCCGTTTTTGTTTGTTTGTTTTTTAAACTGATGAAAAAGAAAGGAAAAAGACCCACTCAGTTGGCCAGGCAAAGCTCCCGTGAACTTGACTGAAACCCTCAGCAGATAAGCAGCTCAGGAACTAGCATGTGTTATGCACGTGATTTGCGTTACTTGTTTTTCCACCACAGTCACCCTGCCCAAGAGGTAACTACAGCACCGTAGTTAAGCTAGGTCAGCGCAAAGTGTCATGAATGAAATAGTACCGCACTGTTTGCGGGAACGACTTGAGATTCCTGTTCCACTTCCTTGACTGCTCAGGTAAAACGCACGTTCAGAAAAAGCAACGCATGTCGCGCGACAGCGAAGGTTATCATCTTACAACACAGGATACCTCAAAAAGCGCTTATATTTGATGAGTGGCCTGACTTGTCATTGCCTAGCCAAAACTCTAGAATACGACTCTGTATCTTTTGTTAGCAAATGTTTAATCAATCCCAGCAAATCAAACAGCTTTTCAGTACACCAGATGTTACCAGCAGAAGAAAGCAGTCACTCAAGTTTCTAGAGCTGTTTGAAATAGTATTAAAATGATAGAATGCAAGGGCATGAAAAAATAAAAACCCAGAAAACATATTTCCTGAAGAAACTAGGCTAACAATGTTGAGATAACTATCTTCATATCAGGAATCATATATGTACAAGACGGGATAAAGAGGGAAATTACTTGTAACAGGCTGCTTGTCTCTTGCAAATAAGAATATTTTCTTTCCAGATATAAGCTCAGATTTACAGCAGTGTTTTCTAAGCACTAGATCAAGAACATTCTCATCTTCAGGTTGCATCCATGAAAATCACTTTCCACTCAAATGAAACAATCTAACTGCTGATCCAAAAAAAAAAAGATTATATTCTCTACAACCTCAGGAGCACAGGATACAGTGCCCTACCAAGTATCTTTTATTTTACTTCTACAGTTAAATTAAGCCACTATCCTGCTTTGAGTTCGCTTACTTTGTAGCATCCTCTCCACCTTTTAAACACCTTCTTTTCAGATCAGTTACATCAGCCATATATTTACTACCCGATTCACATCGAATAGGAACAAGGATTTGGGAGGGTGGGGGTAGCATTTGTTTCTCGCATAATATACCAGCAAACTAGCAACACCATCCCAGTCAGCCAGTTCAGTATTTTGACAGGTTAGCTCTAACTTTTACTGTTTAATGTTCTCCTGAGCAGAGAGCTGTTTTACCTCATCGAGACCGAGGGTTTTCTCCTGCTACCAACACGGCTTCAGACAATCCTGGTTACCTGATGTTTCCATTTTCTCTCAAGCACACGCTTTTAGAAGATATCCTGCTGCTGAGGACTTGGCTTTTACTACTTTGGAGTCTGTTCTTCTCCAATATATAACATGCTTCAGTGTGTTCACAAACCCTTTTCAATTGCTTACTGGAGAAAAACATGCAAGTGTTTCCTTTTCCCCCTGCCCTTCTCAAAATTTGTGGTATGCTCCCAAACTTAAAGATGGGTAGAGTCAGTTACTCATTTGTACAGACTGTAACTAATATCATCTTATACATGACAAGAATTAGACTCAACTATATTCTCAAATAAGGCAAAAGAGCATTAAAATACTACCAAAGAGAGCCTGAACTTCAGACATTACTAAATGAGAAACAGAAGGCCTCTAAGACAGGAAGTTCAGGATGAGTGAAAATGCTAATCCAAAGCTTCAATCGAAGTGTTAGCGTGTGTTTTCAGAACTTAATTATTCCACTTATCATGCATAAAATTGTACTTGCATGCACCACTAACAGAATTAAGTTGTGGAAAAGCACTGAATAAAAAGCACACTTCAGTAGATAGCTCCTTAAAAACGACATTTTAAGGCAAAGGCAAGAAAATATGAATTAGTCCAGTTCCGAACTGGTCAAACATTCACGTCACAAGTCACATCTGACACATACCTTAATTGGAGGAAATGAATAAGAGCTAGTTACTCACTGTTTCTTTTCATTCATCTCCCATGCTTCAAGTATTCGTTCTACTAATTGGCACTTAAGGAAGAGCTATAGGAAAAAAAACAAAACAAAGCAAGCCACATTTACTCAATACTTTTAAAATTAGGTGGACACTAGTAGGCATTTAGGGTTGATTTTAACAAATACCAAAAATCTTACAAAACAAGTTTCAAGTTCAGGATAGATTCTTTCATTGAAAGATTTAAAGTTCAGAAGCAGCAGTCAAATAGATGCCAACCACAAACCCAAGAACCAAACCTCCACTCATTCTTCTTCTTTTTGATTGTAGCTGCTGAGTTTTACTACAATATAGCTACTGAAACAGTATTTTTATTCCTGAAAATAAGACAAACTGCTCTTTCAAGAAAGCAAGGTACCTGCAGCTCCGCATACACACTCCCTCTGAGGTCAGGAGAAAAAAAAATATATATTTATATAAAATAAGTGTGTGTGTGTGTGTGTGTGTGTGTGTGTGAGTGTGTGTCCATCTACAGAACCTCCAGATTTACCATGAACAGACCTATTACCCAAACCATAAAATATTCCTGTTCATTCTACATAAATAAAACATACTATAATTTTACTTTAACCTAAGGGTAATAGCTACAATATCCTGGGAAGGGGAAGTTCAAGAAATTCCTCCTGAAAACACAGCTTACATGTTTCAGTAAAAGATTGTCCCCAGTGGAATCCTGATCTGTAATTGTGCCGTTTTCTGTGCTTTCAAGAGGACTTGCAAGAATCAACGCAATACATATTTCCACTTGAGTATGCAAAAAATTATTCCACGTATATTTGAAGAACATGTCCTGAAAAACAAGTTCAACAGGGTTTGCAAAACCAGGGTCTTTTCATTAGACATAACCAATAGTCTTACCCCCAACAAATTATTTGAGTGACTATGCATAAGCAAGTTGTTCAAGTTTTACATAAGTATTTGGAAGAGAAAATTTGTGACTAGAAAAAAAGTTAATTCTTGTGCTTGCTACTACCTGAACAGAGAGAGGAAGGTCTACCATATAGGATCAGAGAACAGAATCTGTAACTGGATTCATCCTGGAGGTAACCAACAAAGCATCTTCAGTGAACAGAGAGAGAGAGAGACAAGGACGCAGCAACACTCCCCAGCTACGTTCCTTCAGCTATTTGCAGCCCAGAGAGTCCCCGAGTCAGAAATGCTACTTATGACATGAATCTCCCTTGATGGATTTCTCTTACCACTTCAGGTAAATCAGATGCAGTTTAAGATCACTAAATACCTTACACAAAACACAGACAAATACTGAGGTATTGAGGTTGAGATACAATGAATACCATCTGCCCAATCCTGCTCTTGGTTCTCCATAGTTCTTCTCTTAAGCACAGGAGAAGTTTTTAAAGCATAATGGTCACTTATTTTAGACTGCATTTTTATTGCAAAACTCCAATGACTGTCCTTGGCAAAATGGAATTACGAGTTCCAGAAATATGTGCAACAATTGGAACAGCGTTAAACAGCGCTATTGAAGTCTCATTCAGAAATACACCTAGAGATCTCCAGTCTTCTTCCAATCCTTGGAAACTGATGGCATCCTCCCCCTAACAGGTAAGCTACCAGAACTAGACAATTATCAGTCCTATCAAAGCCTGCACAGTAGAGATGGACTATGTTGTTTCAATAGCAAACACTATGAAGCACTGAGAAGTTTATATGGCTGCTATTACTGTTGAACGTCACTGACTTTAGTTTAAAGAATAATCTCCCTCAAAGAGCATTCAAGTGCCTATAGTAGGCACATGCCTGTAAAACAACGTATCTAGGAAAACCCTTAGCTACCGAGAAGTCAACTGTTGGTATACAAGTTAGTAGCTGGATGCAAAACAAGGCAGGCAGAAAAAGGGAAGAGGTTATAACAATAGCTGTATTATGTGAAGAAGGGATTTGGTGTTAAAAACAATTTGAGACCAAAAAAAATTTATGTTTTCAGGTTTAAGTTTGCAACTGCCTGTTTAGAAACAGAAACCTACATATTCTGCTTAGAAGCTCTAGTGTAAATTCCAGGCTGTTTTTCTAGGTATTTGTGAACTGGTACAAGCTTTTCAACTTTTTGGTCAACCTAAACGCTGTCTTCAGCGAAGCGTGTGTCCTACTATAATTGAAGTAGGAGGTGGCAAGGGAAGTACTCAAAGCGTACATGCCACATGAGCAAAAAAAAAAAACCAGACAGCTAGCTGAACGCAAGTTAGTTGTGCAACGTTTTTCTTTCAAAAAGAGGTCTGAACGCATAGGAGCAAAATCAGATATTCAAAGTTCTCAAACAGTACAATAGACGCCTCAACACACAAACTATCTGAAAAGTTACACTACACATTATTTGCCACGACAGAAAGATTAGACAAGATCTTAATAGCACTTCACAGAAATAAAGAAGGTAGCATAAAGTTCTTACCAGTATAACTCCTATGCTGTTAAGCTCTATAAGCTCCTGATTCACACTGCTTGTATTTGTTTGTAAAAGGCTAGATATTAATCTAATCACGTTTAAACGTGTGTTCCCCACAGGTGGATCCAATACGCCCCATGTTGTCTTCATGATGCTTTTCTAAAAAAGAGGTACGTGAAAACTATTAACATAATACTTTAAAGCCAGCTCAGTATTACGATGCTCAATTAGAGTAACAGTTAAAAATATTTATAACCAGTGCCTGAGTAAACAGTCTTACCTCAGCCTGCAAAAAAGGCATTTTTAGTTCTGAACACTATAGCTTATTTTAACTTGAAAGATAGGGAGCACCGAAACACAGTTGGCCACATGAAAGCAAAAACAACGTAAAAATTGAGTGGCACCTACAGGATCTCAAAGTAGGTGCTTTCTGATCCATCGTAAAAAGGAATTTGGAAATACTTACGCTTCTCGCTGGTTGATCTACATACAGCTATACTCCACATTACCACAATACACATAAGCAGCTAGGTGGACGCTCCCTTTAGGTTACTATTATGCCCTAATAGGTCTGACTTAGTATACCTACAACAATTTCATCAAGCAACAAGCTTCTCTGGCAGGTTATTCTAGCGTTCTTTGAAGGAGTCACTTCCAATACAGTAAGAGTATTTCTTTCCAGGCACTGTTTGCTGTATTATAAGCATCATGTTTTCTTACATGGGTATTTTCACCGGTTAACAGACCACACTTACCACACAACTACATACCAGCCTATCGGGAAAATGTGGCATTAACTACTGCAAGAGCTAAAACAAACTAGCAACCAGTACGCGAGCAGGGGAAAGTCATCATGAAGATGTCTTCCTATGATAATACACAAATATATTTCAACAAAAAGATCATCTTAAAGAAGTTTGACACTGTGCATCGTCTTTGCCTGACTAGCACTACCCTCTTCATAAAGAGGCAGAGGACTTGCATCCCGCCTGTTCGTTCAGTCCGTTCCCCACCTAAGGCAAATTTTAGATGTACCCTTAACTGACGGTCATTTAACTACTGCTCAGTGTCACCAACAACAGATTCAGTAACTTCACTAGACGATTTGTTCAAATATATTTCCAACCATCAAGAAGTTTTCAAAACAAACTAACCTGACCTTGCTTTACTGTAACGTAGTCCCATTTCTCGTCATGTTGTTGCAATAGAGATGAATGGACAGTTCCTTTGCATTTCATTACCTCTTAACGCACCTGAAAGCTTAAGTCTTACCTTCTCCAGGCTAAAACAATCTCTTCTCACTACCTTACTCCCCGCCACACTTGGTATCTTGTATTTTATAGACTTCAGTCACTATTTTCACTCTAGCCCACAGCTCCTTATTTCTCATGGATTGCAGCATCCAATTCAGGGTGCAGTACTCCATCTGAAATCTTGCCTGGGCCAATTTGGATGTAAAAGTGAAATGGACTGCAGCTGAAAATCCCTATTTATACAGCTTGTTGTAGTTGTCTCTTAAAACAGCATGACAGGGATACATTGTTTACCATAAAAGTTTCAGTGAAAAAATAAAAATAAAGAATGAAAGAATTTGCCATGCCTGGAGCGCAGGGCGCATGCAGTAGAGCTTAGCTGCTTGGGTCACAGTCATGCCTGGGACTTCTGCATGGCCCTCATCAAGACTGCACAATGCAGCCATGCAACTGAAGCATCCATAGTCCATTTTTCCTATCCAGATAGGATTTTCAAGCAGAAAACAGGACCTGTCCCAGGGAAAGTTTGTTTAACATGGACCCTTCTTTGAAAGGCTACCATCAAACACGTCAACCCCCTTTCTCCTTCAGCCTCAATTTTTACACAGCCAATTATTCCTCCATATAGAAGAATGCAGAGTTAAGATTCGTCTGTATAATTCAACCTACCATGACCTTAAGTAAGTTTCTCTTCTGTACCGTATTTCAGAACATGGCAGCAATACTTTTCTAGTCTATCTACACTTTTCTTATTTTGGCACATACCTGTTTTAGTTTGAAATATATATAAAAATCTCTTTTCCTTGCTTTCAGAAAGCAGCAATTACTTCAAGGCTATTTTAACAAATGAACAAAGTTTAAGCTGGAAAAGTAAATCAACTAGCAAAAAGAAAACAAGAACCTAGGGATGACTATAATGAATAGCAAAGCTCAAAACAGGCTGGGAAGGAGCTTCGGCTTTTGCCTGAAAGTTGTCAGATAAACTAGGTTCGGTTTGTTATTAGAAATCTGTCTAGAATAGTCACGCAGTGAAAGTCTTCCTTTCTTTTCATTTGGTGACATGAGATTTCACTTACTTTTGGAGGCTCAAGTAGGAGCTCGTGGAAGGATGAAAGTCGTGCTTTTATGGCTTCTAAAACACTTTTATTGACTGAATATGTTGAATGGCTCATGCCTGGAGGACAGATCTCTATATGGCCTTCAAATCTAAAATACACAAAGTCTGATATTAATACTGAAACTAGTTCTAGAACATTATTAAGGTAATATTTTGAGAGTCTCATTGTTCTGAAGGCTTGTAAATAAGAAATAGTAAGGAAAGACAAAGTGTTACAGAAATAAGTTAAGTGTGAACTAACAGTGGAATGGTATTTTTCCAAACACTAGTCCCGATAGCTGTAGGCTTACCATGCTCACAGCCTCCAATATGGATTTCAATGACTGAGATTAAACATCACAGCTGCAGTTTCCTTTTTTGCACCAGAGAGAGAAATTTGTCTACTCTGACTAATTTAAAGAAACTGAACATACCACTGCGAGATCAAAGCTCTGTCCACTGATGTCTCAAAGTGAAGTTGTAATAAGATTCCAAATAACTTAGAGTCAGGGTGAAAAAAAAGTCAATACCCACTCCACTATACTGTACATACTGCACTCTGTACTTTGCTTTCAGAAACACAAACTGATGAATGTAACTAGTCTGATCTGTCAAGCGGGGCTTAAGCTAGTTTCTAGAAAAAAAATGCAGAAAGACAAATCATTTACTGAAAAATATAATGTTATAGCTTGTTTTGCTTTTACTTCTTCAGCTGTAGCAAGCCACAAAAACCGTTCAGTCACTCAGTACACAGAAGACATTTCAGTTCTTGTTCAATAACTTCCCGGGGTTAGGTTATGCGCACATAATTAAAAGTAATAACACTTACGTCGGTCGTCTTGTCTCAAGTAAGGTCAGTAATATTTGAATTGCACTGACTATTGCAGATTCATTTTTTTCTTTATGAAAAATATTAGACAGCAGCTGCTCTATGATTTCTTGCCTGAAAAGAAAAGCATTGACATTAGACATAACACTACTTTAGCATGTGGCAGTTAACAGAATTAGCTACCATTTCACCTCGTAAAACTAATAAAGGAGAAAAGAGAAATTAAAGCCTCAGTTATTTCAAGCTAGCAGGTACCACAAGAATAATCAGTCCCATCCTCCCTGCCCCCTCTCTTGTACTAGCTTTTTGATCCGGCTTACAACCAACCCTACAAAAATTGTCAGTTTTCAGCCAGATCAAAAACCTGATTCAGCTTGCCACACAGCTACACGAACCTACAATTGCCAAAAGGAAGACGGGAGTAGGAACATCTTCTCTGGCAACCACAGTTAGATTAACTGAAAATAATCAAAGCCAAAGTTACCCACGTGTACTCTGCACAGTATCAAGCTGACCTCCGCATGTCGATCCCACTAACTTTGGTGGCACAGGAAATACTTTAATCTCACATTCTTTAGGCAACAGCAAGACACTAGAATCGGACAAGAATAACTACGTGAAGCCATTAAGGAAGTCACCCAAGCAGGCTCTGCTTACTTGCTGAGCTATTTTAAGTTACACAGACAGACGACAGGTAGCCAAGGAAGTTCATCAAAAAGAACGGAGCTTGCCATTTCAAATGTTTTAAAGGCCAAAAGTTAAATGCCGCTGTTTTAAAGAGCTGAATATAAAATGAGAAGTTCAACCAACTAACTTACTTTTCTAGACTTGCAAGAAGTGGATCAGGCTCTGTACTGTTCTGTACTTGTAACATCTGGTCTCTGCTTAGACGAATAATTTCACAGAGTGACTGTGATGCATTTGAATGCCTCTGGAACAGGAAAGTAGAGCTTTTCATTACAAAACTAACACCACACTGAATTAAAAGTCTTCATTGAAAGAGCTGAAAGTTTTCATTTCACGCAGACAAGATTCTCTCCTGCACATAAACATTTCTGCAATAGCTTTATTCCATAATGAAACCTTAGCAAGCCATGGAAGACCTGAGGCAAAAGAATGGAATCTATCTCCAGGGTGAAGGCACCAAAACTAACACTAAAGACAGATCTTTAAACCACATCAAGTCTGCATCAGGGCTAGGCTGGGTCTGACAAACTACGCAAATCCTAATCTTAAAGGAGAAACTTAAAACAATACTGGAATAAGCTTACCGTAGAAAAGCAAGCAGAAAACAGTAAAACTAACAAGTCCCAACACTACGGGACTGTACAGTAATTTACTGATCAGACAGACCCAGAAGAGCACCGGAACAGTACTTACATCTTCATCTTGAGACGGATGTACAATTTCCACAAGCCTCTGGATAATTCTCTCCTCATTTAGCCACTGTAAAAATGTTTGTGGGCATTAATAAAATGCCAATTTAATTTAACCCGTTCACTTGAATAGTATTAAATGAATTAAAAGAAGTAGTCTGAAAACTGCCATGAATAAAACTGTTGATATTTCATGGACTAACAATACTTCAAGAAAGGTTAAAAAAGAAAAGCAAGGTTAAATGTTTCAGAGCAACTATAAAAGAAAGCTTAGGTTATGTTTAGAAGGAGGCTCCTCCCAAAATGGTTATTAGCAGGGTGGGGGATTGGGAACTGTCTTAACAGGTTATAAAACACCTTATACAGGTGTTATAAAACACCTTTTGCAAGTATTCTCAATTTACCTCAACTTAATTCATTGTACCAAGGGCAACTGGCACACTGACTATCAGCGGAGCCTAATGTAGGCAGCTATTCTCATGGCTTCTGGGAACCTCGGACAAAGTAGGCGTCAAGTGTTACAGTTGTGTCAGTATGACATAAAGGGGTCTGCAAATTTCACATGACCAGCAACAATTTCCGCGAAGTCTCAACTTCTAAAATATGCTACCACCACACTGAGCGCTAAAGCATGCTCCCTAAGGTCCAAAACAGTTTGAAAACTGCATCCAACAGTTGCTAGCTACTAACGCGCAGTGGGACAGACCACTTAGGTGTTTTTATTTAAGCTTTTAAGTTGTTCCCACCAGTGCTGTGGCTCCTCTGGGAAAGGAGTGACAGATCCGAGTGAACATGCACATCTAATTACAGCACATTTAAAAACTCAGCTTAGCAAAACTAACAGTAGATAAGCCATCTTACAGTTCACACATGCCAAAAATCCTTTAAGCAGTTTTACTCACATTTAACACTTCTTGCCTGGGTTGTGGAGGTTCTATGCAAGTCAGTAGCCTGAGCAACAAGTCCATGATAGCAGAGGTCCCTATGTGCTTAATAATGAGGTCTACAAAATCATGTTTCTTCTTCAAAAAATCCACAATCTAGGAATAAGAAAAACAAAGCAGCTGACATTTGCTTCTTTGTATTTTACATGGTAGATTATGACAAAATTTAAATTTGATTTTTCTCTCCTACAAGTTGAAATTAAATAAGAACTTAAACACTTTTACATCTTAAAACTTGCAGTACAAGGCAAGATAAAACAGTACACACTTATAGAGTAGCACAAATGACACAGGACAGATCTACACTACGTTCAGTGTGTCCTGGGCCTACTCTCAGGCCCAACTTCCTGACCATAAACTGCTTGTAACCAATGCACAGTTGGCTTTCCTTTTAGGTACGGATTTCTCCCTCGCCACAACTGAGCTGGACACAGCAAAACCGTAACACAATACTCTCTCAGGCAAATTCAGAGCTTGAGAAACTAAAAACAGGGAACAGAACCACAAACTTAATTTGCTCAGGTACCAGAGCCAGTCACTGCAGCCGTAAGGTACGGCCCCCTTCATTGAACGAGGACCCTGAATGTCTCACCCGGTCATATGACAACCCTCCACACCAGGCTGTGACCCTGCACAAATCGGACCCACCTCCAGTGCTTCAACTCACTCACCTTCTTCTCTCGCAGTCATTTAATGCAAACATCACCACGCAAGTATTGAGATAAGCCAAAAAGTAAGCATTTGCACACAGGCAGTTACTGACCGCATAAATGGCTCAGACAAAACTGAATCACATACACCTTAGTCATGTTTTCAAATTCTGTGCATGCCGTAAAGGAGGTAGCGTCTTCAGGTAGTATAGAAATACGAATGCTGTTCTTTGACTCAGCTGCTAACCCTTGGAAGGGCAGTGTTAAGGGAACATGACTGAGTATTATAACTTCACTGAAGCACCTGTTAAACTGGAGAGCTTGTCGAGCATTTACCTGTTCTGGTTTTCTGCTTATAAGAATACTTAGCACCTTGCTGAAGAAACTGGCCAGTAAAGGGTTTAGCGGCGATTCATTTAAGAGGAAGCTGTACAGTTTCACAAGTAAGGATTCTTCTTCTCCCAGCCTATCATTGATCTGTGAGACATCTGATGTAAGCAGCTCACAGGATATGTTTGGATATCTGGAGAAAGGAGGAAAAAATGAAATCCATCATTCATACTTACAGGAAGTTATACTGTCAAGTCTGAATTCAGAAAAGCAGCTGCCTGGTAGGGCTTCTGACAAAGTTCTCAAGCACAGTAGGTTTGAAGCCACCAAAAAAAGCAGACTAGCACAAGTTAACACAACTGCACGTGCAGGCTCCAAGCTCTGTTCTTTTGTTTAAGAAATGGACTATTCTGCTCTGCAGCAGCAACACGGACAACACTGGAGAGGTGGGGAAAGGAGAGGACAGGCTTTTATTTTAAGATCTTCTTGTAGGCTCATCTGTTTCAAATATTACCCTCTCATTTCAGAAGCCACTTCATTTCTTCTTTTGAAGAAGAAAAAGGTTGGATACCAAGAACTAAACAGACTGCTAGTACTGGACTGATGCAGGGGAGTGGTGTGTTTGCCCTTCTTTAAGACTGCATAATCTATATTTAAGAGGTCGAAATGATTGACTTCAGGATCAGTATTTCCCACACTTCCTAAAATCACGTGAAGTCTCACTGAACTAGTCCAAGAAAGGCTGACAACGCTTGCCAAACTAGCTAGTACTGCTTCATGTCACAGAACCAGAAGCACTGTTCAGAACATTGTGACTTAAGGTAAGAGGCCATCAAGGTCAGCAGTTTCCTGCATTTGACAGCAATATTGCCCAGTCACACTAAAAAAAATTATGATAGTGTTAGCAGCTTAAGGCTTCCCAGTGGAAGATATCTCAATTTCAAACCCAACTAGAAACAGTTACAGGAGGCCTGGTTCGCCATAAGCGATAAAACTAGGAAGGCAGCACATTCCACATCAGTTTCTCTATACAGCCAAAACAACAACACATACACACACACCCCCCGCCCCAGCTTTCTTCATAGACCACCCCAAAATTTTGAGGGGGAGGAAGGGGGAGGAGAAATACTTTTATGGGAATTGCTAGGGGACTGTAAAGTTTAACCCTTCCTGGCAAACTAGCAAAACAATCAGGGCCATACTCCTCTAATAATACAGTTCTACCTCCGCAATGGAAAACACCAGCAACTACATGTTACATAAATGCTTCCAAGGAGTGGTAGAGACTTTCCAAAAATGCATCTTCAAAACATCTTACTAGTCACTGATAAAACAAGACTAAGCACTGAAACGTATTACCCAAATAGAGGTTTCCATTCAACTATTTTTAATCACCAAAAGGAGTAACAAAGATCCTTTATACGAGTCATGATTTTTTGTAAGCTTCCTTTGGGTAGCAATTGTGTTTGGAAGCATTTCTGGATTAAAAAGACCTTTCATTAGAAGAAAGCCCCACAAACGTTAGCATGACTCATTTAATTAAAAGCCCTACAACACCCCTCGAAAACAAACTTAAAGATACCAGTACTCTATTACACACCAGCATGCAGGAATTTAAAGTGCACTATAAATTAACTGGAGTAAGTTGGCCCTCTTCCCACCTTCCCCCCTCAACGTTTTCCTACTTGTATCGAATTTTTTCATCCATGTCTTGAGGTGGTTCTTCTATAATAAACGAAACTAAGTCTTCCAAACATTCCGACTTCAACAGAAATTCTATAAGTTTGCGATTCTGAGCCTTGCACTCTTGCAGAACATCTTCTTCATCCATCAATTCCTTCAGCGTTACATCTTCTCTCTCTAGAAGCGTATCTATGTGGGATGACGAATGGAGATCGAATTTCCAAAACATACTGGTCTGGATAAGAAAAATATACACAAAGCATTAAGTTCACAGATCTATTGAAACAGTACTTGCAGTTTTTCCCCCAATAAAAGCCAACTTCACTTCATAGCTTCTAACCCCAAAAGAACCTGCATACACAGAAACTTCCTATAACTCAGGAGACAGATCAGTAGATGCTGAAAGATGCATCAGAAAGCTATAAATCAGACTTGATTAAAGATGAGTGGATAAGCTGTAGTAATTTTTGTACCTTTAGTGATAAGCCAATGTTTTAACGTAAAGTTAGCTTGCTCCAGGGTTTTACTTACAAGAAAGGAACATGCTAATTTGCGTTAAAGAAAGAAAGATTAATTCTTGGTTTTACTTTTTTTTTTTTTTTTTGGTTGTTTCCTCCCCTTTGTTTTATGTATGCAGCAAGTCTCCGATTCAGGAGAACCTGCTCAGCAACTACTAGGGCTGGCAGAAGAAGAAATGGGCACGGCACACGCACGCACTGGAGTTCCACCACCTCCACCCCACAGGGCACTGAAAGAAATGCCTCTAAAGGGGTAGGAACTAGAGCCATTTTTAACTTCGGTGCCGGATGGGTGCTGCCAGCAAGTCAATCTGAGCACAGGACCCACTTCCTCACTGTGCCTCCCTCCACAAACTTGACATGGTGGGGGCAAAACAAGGGACAATAAAACTTGTTAACAAGCCAGAAACTGCAGTGTCCGAACCACAGAAACATTGCAGAGGTCTAACAAATGCCTAAGGATGAGCAACTCCATCTTTCCTTATAAAGTGCTTTGAGCACCTCCAGGTTCATTTTGTTGCTCTAAGAAACCTTGCAAGCAACTGCTGCCGAGACAACTGTGCTATCAAAAAAGAATATTTCAGTCTTAGATAAATGCAATAAACTCCTGCTTTCCTGTATTTCTCCTTAAGCCCAGTTCAAGCATTCTCGACATTCCAAACAAATCCAGGCTTTCACAGTACGACATTTTACTTCTGATACAGCCTCAACTAGTCTTAAGTGACTGGAGAATTTAAGAAAGCAGATTGAAAGATATTCCAGAGCTCAGTAAGGGAAATGGTTCTTTCCTAAAACTGGAAGTACACAGCAGCATGGCTTTAAGCAGTACTCGATAAAAAAAATCCACAGAAAAGAGACAGTCTTTTTGATCCTTTAGTAACTATCTTCCAAGTGTGAAGGATTAACTCAAAATGTTAATTACCGACACGCATTAGTGACAACATCAGCTGTGCGGATATGTAGTTGCCACAAAGAACGTAAGCAAATGTCCTGTTTTAGCAGGGACATGTCTGCCAGCTGCAATTTTGTGTGCAGAAGCAGCAAACTTAAGCAACAGTGAAGCCAAGTGTTTGTCGTGCACACTCTTAAGATAATCTACAAAATCTAAACTAGAAATACCTGACCCTATGCAAACTAAGAGGTAGTCAGCTTTAAGTATTTATCTCCCAAGTTTGCAAGGATTCAGCATGCACACCATAACTACTTAGAATAGTGAAGCATCTAACTCATCAGCTTAAGAGTTTGTGAACCATGGAGACTAAAGTCCAGGATCCGGCAAAACCTTCAGAACTTGCCTCATCACCCAGACTTCAATATTTGGCCTACCAACTGAAATAAGCCTGGTATACTCATTACGGAGAGGAGGTTTCGTTTGCTTTTGGCATTCTTGTTTTAGTTATGACGTGCTGATCACTTAAGAATACCTTATTTTGTTTAGGCTTTTGTCACAAGTTGTAAGCATACGTATAACTGCCCCTGGAATGCAGAGTTCTACATTTAAATATAGGGAGTCATGAACAAAAAACCCCAAAACAAAATATATACATAATCAGGAAAAGGTACAAATGACTTCAATTGCAATACTAGTATTTATAATCATGTGAGATCCCATGCAAGGGTTAAAGAGAATAAATGGTTAAAAAACCCAGAAAAATCTTTTCTACTAAAAGTATTAGTAATCTTGCAAGCAGAGTTCAGAACACCTGATTTTACTTACAAGAGACATGAGCATAAATCAAATTGTACAAAGTTGTTATTAAAACCATTGGCTTATGGGTATTCAGGCTCTACACAGACTTATTGTGAGAAAGTAAACTAGTGCTTCAGTAAAGTCACAGAAGCACTTTTTTCCTTCTCTTTCTCCCAAGCTTGTAATAAGATCAAATCCCTCCCCTTGTCCCAATCGGTCAAAGTAGCATCTTTGCAAGTAACCACTATCAATGCTAACTCCGGATGTAAATCCCTCTGCAATGGTTAAAGCTCATTTCTGTAGCTTCAAATTATTTCTCGGTTACTTAATTCAAGAGAAATTCAACAACAGAAAATAGCAACAACAAAAAAGAGGCATACTACTGCAAACATGTTACAGCGTTATTTCACAAACTCTCCCAGGCAAGCTCTTTTAGGGGATGCTCAACATGTCAGGTGCCGGCCAGAGATTATCCCATCACTTTTCAACAGGAGCCCAGGTCCTTTGGAATAAGGAAAAAAATAAACACCGTAAAATGTACCAAAGAGGAAGTCCAGGAACCCTGAAGAGAAGAGAATTTTCTTAGGCGTTATCACTAGCGAGAGTCTAGAAGCAGCGTACCACACTCCAAGGAAAAAAAAGTTACTGTTATTCTTTCCATGCCCTACTGTTCACCCCCCATCAAAAAAAGTTTTGATTTATTTCCATGCTTTTTCAAACTTCAGTCCCATTAACGGAGGCAGGATTAGGCCTCATGTCCACAACTCAGGAGCGAACACCTTCCCCACCATGCTCCTCCCAAAACTTCAGCACCTGCAAATTTACAGTCAGCTCCAAAGGCCGACGGGGATGCGCCACTCTGTGCTCAAGTCTTGCGCCAATATAAGCGGCAAAGTGTTGTTTCAATACAGGATGCAAAAGGAGACCAAGTATGAATCATGCTCGAGATTAGGTACTATGAGAAGCAAACTGATCCAGGGTAATATTTAACACACAAACAAAAACCACCGCACACGGTCAGACTTGGAAAGAAAAACTGTTGTGTTGAAGACGGTAAAGTTGCTGCAGGTATCTGACTAGAATCCGTAACGTTTAGTTCGCTTTGCAACCCAGCGAGCAAGATCTGACTTCCAATTCATGCATAGAGTCCTTCCAAAAGTTTACATCAACTGGATGCAAGTTTGTGATAATTCAACATGAACTCCTAATTCTGAAAGGAAAGAAAGCAGTTCAATAAAATGAAGAAAGTCTGTCACTGTTTTGAGATAGAGGTCACGAAAGTTCTCATTTCAACTCTTTGCTGAAGAGAAGAAATAAAGCTTACAAGTGATCCTTTCACCCCACATAGCCTTAACCCACACTGCACGCATTTTTAACAGTAACTGGGTTACAGCTCTCTCCAAAGGCCAAACGCTTCATCAACAGCTTCATCAGAGAAGGGAGGAGGAAAAGAAAAAAGCGCTAACAATTGCGTCAACGAGCTTCTTAGCTTAGAAGGGATATAGCTGTCAAACACCTTTCCTGACCACAGACTTTCCTGTTTCCAGCTACAGCATGAGGACGTGAATTCTAGTTAGACAAGTGCACAGGAGACAAATCTTTCCAAAATTATCAGATTTTGAACCTTTAAAAAAAAGAACACCACACAATTATGCCTGTTACTCTAAAGCATCCCAAAAGTCTCTCCAGTTAATAAGCTACGCACAGCTTACTTAGCTGTCTATTTAAGCTAGAAACTTAACCACCTTAGCTAGCTAAAACAAACGTGAGACAGACACTTTACAAGGAGTCAGTTTTACCTTGGTAGCTCACGTTGCTATCTGACAGCTGCAATCGTGGTAGCTACAAAACATGCTGATTTAACCCAGGAGAAAGGAAAAAAACAAACAAAAAACCCACCACCACCAATCTGGCTGTTTAGATGAAGGCTGGTTTAGGTAAATGTTTTATTTGACAACTGGGTAGGTTAGAAGCACATACAGAGAGCTTCAGGCAATAACTTAGATTCTACAGTGATAGCCACTTTCATTACGCAAGTGAAAGAAACTTTAGAAAAAAAAAAAATCAGATGTCAAGTTGGGAACTGTGTATTCTAGGAAAGCCTGAAAAACGCTACATAGAAAGTTGTAGCAAGGGTTGTGTTATCAAGCACTAATGTCAGAAGGTAACTGTCACTTTTATGTACCACTCTATTTTCCTCCTACAAGGTTCAAATGCACAGAGGAAACAACTCTGTACTTAAGCACCAAAGAACTTTTCGGTGACTAACACACTTCTTAAATTACCTGCTCTATTTGAGCACAATAGGCTTTTGCTATTCCTGTGTAGCAGCTAGCAGAAGGTGACCTAATAGCTGCACGCAAGGAGAGCGGCCACCAAAAAGTAATCCTCGGGGCCAAAGGCACTCCGAAGTCTTGTATTTCTCCATGATAAGAGCATTCCCAGTGCAGATGATCCACTGGCTTCTAAAAACCAAGTCTGTTCCCCAAACTTATCGGACTACTAAGTAATAAGGAAGATAAATGTCTCATGTTTTTATCATTAAAAGAGACAAGATTTTAGAGCTTTGAGATGCATGAAGTGGTTTCTTTAAAACACTAAGCATACATCTCTCTGCCAGCTCACAGAGCATTACCTTCCGTAAACCTGCGGTCTAAAACAGCCCGTCCTTCACTCACTGGGGGCCAATTCCTCAGAGCCTTACACAAGCAAAAATCTCTTATCGGGGAAAAGTAGACATCTAAGCATTTTCAGTCTGGAATTGAGGATAACTTGAATAGAGGAAAACTAACACTAAGATTAACATCCCCCAATTTACAGATAGATAGATAGATATGGCTCATTTGGGGGGGAGGGGGAACCAATCGTCCCCAACCCCATTCCCAGAAATCAATCACCATTCCTACCAAAGGAAACAGAAGACCTAACGAAGCACTGAAGAATGCAAGTTCTAGCTAGTTCACCGACACTAAAATAGCAGCCTAATTTCATTATTAGCAGCAGCAAAACGCTTGCATTCCAACTTTAAAATTTGGACCAGAAGAGGCATTTTTCCATACAGTAATAATAATTCAGGTCGACGCACACTTGTCCTCTAACTAAATTAAATACTTTCTCTACCTGATGAATGCAGGAAAGAACCTCAAATACACAAGCAAACATTGTTGTTGGTTCTTCTGCATTAAAAATTTGGGGTATAAGAGGATGGATGAAATATGCATTTATTTATCCTCTACTACCTTCAAATAGCATTTTGAAGTGCAATAACTTTGGTCCTTTGATACCCCTTATTTTTATTTCTACATATATCAAGTAATGCCATTAAAAAAGTCATACTTACCCAATAACCTTTTTAAAAATATATATTTCTTTTCAATCAAAGCAGCGAGGTTCAGGGATTTTGTTTTACTTGCCTTTTTTTTTAAAAAAAAAGGCAAAAAGAAAATCCCCTGTTCTGCTGAGCAGAGACAAGCTGTTCAAGTTTTCATCTTATTTTGTACAGAACAGGAACAGAAGGTGAAGGATCTGGAGCGGTACTAGTGAAGAAATTGTTAAGTTAAATGTCCCAAGCCCTACATTCAGCTACGTTACTTTATGTTACATCTAGCAATCATTCAAGTAAAAGTGGTAATACAGGAAAGCTTCCATAGTGTAGTTTCTACATTTCTTAAACAAGATGTAAGGCAAGCAAAACCATCCTAGTAAGACCTTACCACCGTTAAGTGCAAGATCCAGGCATTGTGAGGGAGCGCTCCATTTTAAATAACCCGGTAACATCTCAGCACACTGAGCTATTTACTGGCACAATTTCGTTTACGTGTCAAAACAAAATACCGCATCTTCCTCCAAATACTATCAAGGATTCCTGTATAACCAAAGGACATTTGGGAACACAAGAGAAACACTTCACTGATTATTCTACAACTTACCCTTGCTGTACTACTGATACGATTCCCTCCAGTCACCACACTCATTTACAGCATATACTTCTCGGCTAACAACTCTTTTCAGAGGATAACTACATACTCTTGAGTGAAATGGGAGCAAGAGATGCCCACGTGGCAGTCTTATCAACCGAGAGAAAAACGTATTATCAAGTAGTTTGAAGATGCAGTAATTTTCGTGCCATGCTCTTAAGCAGTTGCCTTCTCTTCCTAGGGAAGGGGACAACTTATCTGGTGGAGCGCAAGTCCCTACTTACTATCAGATAGTAGAAGTGGCAGCCTGCTACGGCTACAGAGCATTCACAAATTGACTATAAAAGTGAAATCACTGTCTCCGTTATCTATTTATCACACTAGCTACACTTCTATCAGGATTATTTATATAGTACATATACCTATTGCACGCACACACAAAATATCAATACACACATACATACACAATGCCCCAAAGTTTGCAAACACGTTCCAAACTAGTTAGTGTTTACTGAGACAGGCAGCAATTCCTCCAAATTCAGCAAGTCAGCAGGCCAGCGAGCATCTAAAAATCAGCTAAAACCTGTAGTTTGCAATTAAGTTACAACAGCAATCTTACACCAAGCAACAAGCGTATCCTTGACAACTCCCACACTCTGCATCTCAAACCACTGGTTAATATAAATGCCATCTTAATTACCTGCAATAACTCTACACTAAACATTGATTTCCCCAGCCCAAATTGAAAGGTGAATAACTTCCTAGTAACTCCACTTCAACAGCCAAACATTTACACATTTCAAAAATTTATTGGTCAGATTCTGGATATTTTCAACTCTTCCATCAATTACCTTCAAAATGGGAACGAAGATATCTGTGCACTGAGAAAAGCAGATGGTTCAGTCACGTTATAAAAAGAAAGCTGAAGAACGCATAGAACAACTTTACTCTGAAGCATGCAGTTTGATACCAAAAAACTCAGCTGCAGAAGACAGCATTACCATATTCCAACACAAGAACCTGTAGTGCTAAACATCATTCATACCTAATGCACGTCAGTTCATGAGTACATTTGCTTTGAAACTCTTCCACAGAATTGGAGGCTGGGCAGCTGATATACCTCCTGTCCCAAAATCACAACACTTTAAAACATGTTCCCTGTAAAAATTAAAACACTTTTTATTTTTTCATTACAGGAAACTTTTTCAAATAACCACAACAGCGTGCCTAGATAACCCCCAATTCTCATTATGAGGCCAAAAGAAAAACAAAGAAAGAAGGCAGTGCAGCAGCAGGATGGATTACAAGACAAAGTTTAAAAATAGCCAACTAGAAAGTAATGGGGGAGGGGGGAGGGGGAAACCTGCAACAAAAGGGAAGGAATGACCACAAAGTCTGAACTGCAGAAAAGGAAGGAGCTTAGAAGGTGGCAAATCTGAACCTGCAGAAGTCAGGTGAGTCAGTCTTTACTGGACATCAGGAAGAGGAAAAAAGAAGTTAAAGCATTCAGGAACCACTTAAAACTTTTAGCTAAGGCTTTATAGGTGCAGAAGACAAGTCTACCACTAGAGATGAAGTTTAATAGCAATGTTTCTTACCTGTTAAACACAAAAGTTTCTAAAAAGTTAAAAAAAACGGAATGATTTGTATTCTCTGAGGCTCCTTGCCCATTACAGGGTATCCTGGCAACAGCAAAAATCTTTCAATCTACAGTATTAGCAGATTAGCAGGACTGAATTAGCTTAAGATGAAGCAGATTTCTTCCTACAAGAAAAAAAAGACATTTTGCAATTTAATAACATTAACAGGTTCTATTAAATAGCTCAACGGCAGCATGAACAGAGTTGCTTGCAGGGAATGAAAAACATGAATGATGGAAGAAAAACAACTTGCTAGGAAGAAAAGTAATCTCACTCCATTGCACCATACTCTGAGATAGATTCAGGAGGAGCTTGTCATCTGAAAGAAAACTGTTACAGACTTTTTCCAATTAAACATCCTGCTTCACTGTTGGGAGACAGAGGAAGAAACTTCATTGTCTTAATGAAACAAAAGGCAAGTGAGACTGTAAAGGCACTTTAACTAGGGAATCTAACATGAAACCCGGAACGTAGGTTTTTGTTGTTGGTGGGCGTTTTTTTTTTTTTGCTTATCTATTAGCACTTTCATCTGAAGTCACATCTTCAGAGCTAGAGGTCAGAACTGCTCATTGCTAGATCTTCTTCTGTTCCAACCTCACAACTATTCTCTGACTGCTTGTTATACTCAGGTCTGGTTTATGCACAGACTTGCACAAAAACAAGGATACAAGCAACACGAATGCCAGTTATTTTGGCATAAATCTGTACAAGAAAGTCAGACTCTTTCAACTTGAAGTCAGTGTAGCTTTACAAAAATCCATATAAATCTACTTCAAATTGAGAGAGTCTACATACAGACTTAGAAAGTAACCATCTATGTTAGGACAGCATTTGGTCTCTCAAAACTCATCATTAAGACCACCTCTGCTTTTGGACAGCCCAATTCTTTCAATGTAAAGCAAAGCAGCACTGAAGACAACAACAAGGTGTTCACAATTGGCCTCAAGAGGGATGCTTAGCAGCCCACGCTTTCGAGACGTCAACAGCACATAAGCAAGAAAAAGTATCATGTTCAGTGATGCATCTTTCAGAGATGGCTGTTTCTGGCAAACTTCTAAAAACAAAAATTCACCTTCCTTCCCCATCAGCTATGGGGGAGTTTTTTCAGTTTTGCTTTTTTAATGTAGGCTTCAAGTAAGATGACTTTTGGGTTTTTCTGGAAGCAAGGGTGATATTATTCTTGAAAGAAAGAAGTATCACAAACTAAGAAGGGTAGCAAGCATAGCAGCAAGTTCATTAATTTGTGCCAATGTCTACTACTTGGCTAAAAGGCTCTACTGTCACAATTTCAGTCACCAGTATATCTTCAGCTAAAGAAAACACATAACCATACTAAATACTCTGCCAGTAGAGACAAGAAGGATCTAATTTCAGTCCTCCCATGTCAAAGATAGAGTTGCATCTTCAAAGCTGGTTTTAAATCCTGGCAGAATATTTATTAAATAGCCTCTCACAACCTAGAGATACATACTACAAAATATATTCCTTCTGAACTAAAAGAAATTTTTATAGTCTAGTTTAACAAGCATCCAAGACCAAGTGTTTTTACTAGCTCTGCTAGGGCCAGTAGTTTTTGTGGCTTGAAACACCACGTTATTTGGCATTTCCAACAGTTCTGGAGCCAAAAGTCACCACATTTCCATTTTACTCACAACCGTGCAAAGATACCAAGCCTAAGTGTACACAAACACTAAATACAGCCTTCTCTAAGGCTATTTTAGTAACCAACATACACGTGAACTGAAGGTCAGCGTAATACATTGACCATAATACTTTCAAAGGTCAAATGTGTTTTTCATCCTTAGACCTTCAGGTCTAAATGTCAAGTAGATTTGCCAATCCCTTACAAGTCAAGGGACTAACAAGAGGAAAAAAGTAAACAAGTTTATTGAACTTGGCTTGCTTTACCAAAGTTTACTTGCTAATCTTTTCTGGATTTCAAATGCTCACCTATATGCAGAAGCTGAATTCTAAGTTAGGACTGTCTCTTCCTCAATTACTCCATGTGCGGGCAAAATAAGAAGCCTGTTTCGCTTAATCCACTTCTAGAGGGTTTACAGAAGTCTTAAGGCATTGTCCACTCGGATATGATTTGCCAGTAAAATTATGCAAATGAAAACCACTATGAATTACTACTCTCTTTACAAGGATGTCTTTCTGATATTTCTCCATTCCTCTCTTCTTGTATTAAACAAAATTTTAGTCTCAATACCGTTGTCTAGTAGGAGAACGTCAACTTCTGAATTCTTAAGAGTTCGTCCACGCAGCAGGATTACATGGAATAATAAAGGGCTATCGTAATCAAAACTATCAAGAAGATACTGGCTGCGCAAACATTACAGCATACCCTGGGAAGCCGGTTCTACAGGAAGCCCGCTCTGGTCAATCAGGACTTCTCTCTCCATCTCAGAGCCCACAACAGCAGAGAGCTTGGTTTCAGGAACGGCCTTCTGCTCAGTGGTACTGAGGGTTTTTGGCTCCGACTGCCCCTCCCTACCAAACAGATCAGGGATCGAGAGGGACTGCAAGGTGGAAAAAATAAGGGGGGGGGGGGGAAAACACACCCACACGCAGGAGTACTTTGCTTAAAAAAAGTTAGAGAAAGAGTCAACTGATTGGATCACGTGAAACACTGTACAAGCCTGGATCTCCTGCCTCCAGGGATGCCCTACATTCAGCAATAGTTCAGCCACTTCAATAGGCACTTCTCCCAGGGAGGTGGGGCCACCAGGGAAGGCATCAAAAACTGAAACCTAAAGACGACATGCAAAGGCAGGATGGAAGTATTGTCACGTATGCATGTATACTACATTCAAAAATGAAACTACGAAAAGCCATCATCACTAGAGTTTATCTCTGCTAATATCTTTATCAGATTTAGCTGTAAAATACAGCAAAGCACAACTATTTAGAACAATATCAAATTTTGCCTAAAGCGCCACTGTACGGTTAAGCTTGTTCTAAAAGTATTACCTGACGAAACATACTTACTTCTGCTTTTTTACATACAGAGGTTAAGCATTATCTGATCAGCTGTCATGAACAGGACTAAACACATTGTATTAACACTGCATAGACTGGCACATCTCTGCTTCTAAAACAGTTTCTATACATCTCTTGGTCCAAACACTGAGGTAAAAAGGTCTCTTCCACATCTGTTCTTTGCCTATGGAAACCAATGCAACACTCGCACACACCCTGACAACAGGGTACAATAACTGCAGGTTACTGAATAGTGCCGCTGTTACAGTATATCACCTCATGCATTCAGAACAATAACTTACGTAAATTGTGTGACATAAAGTTGCTGTACAACATAACTTTACCATGCAAAAAACCACCTCACTGAACTCTCACAAACACCATCGCATTCAGAACAATAACTTACGTAAATTATGTGTGACAAAGTTGCTGTACAACATAACTTAACATGTACAACAACCATGCAAAAAACCACCTCACTGAACTCTCACAAACACCATCACGTAACGTTAATGCTCATCCCAAATTCAAGCGTTCATCGTATTGCCAAACGACTCCTTTCCAAAAGTGTGGTTTGTTTTGTAGCCCACATCCCAAATTTGGGAGAAGTCAGATCGACAAAACCACTAACTATTGTTCCTCTTCAGGAATAATAAAGGCGTCTGGACAACAATTAAAAATGGGGAGCATATGCCACTAAGTGGTTTAAATTTTATTTCCTATAACAGGTATATTGTGCCCAAAAGAAGCACAACTGTTTTTCTCTAATACTCTGCCTGAGAAAAGAGAAATATGAAAGTCGATTCCTCCCTTTTTCTACTGGCTTACTGCCTCACGATTCCCCAATGCATCTGCAATCCATCCATACTAAACTGTTAAATATTAATACTCCAGGCAGAGCAAGCGTGAAGTCATCACTTACAAGAGACTAAATAGACTCATCATTGCTCTTTACCTCTTCTCTCCAAACGTCTGAGTGACCAGTTCTGATGACCGCTGGGAAAAAGCTGCTAGACATTGTGCATAATTTTCAAAAGTACATTCCCCCCCCCCCCCCCATAGTAGTTTTATTCATTTATTTTTAAGACAACCACCATCATCCTTTAGAACTGCTTAGCACAACTACGAACTATTCCCCCTCCCCTTGCAATTGTTATAATCTGGTCTCAAGTCTCAGAGGTGAGGCTGAAGCAGCCTAGCAAGTAAAACGAGGCATCTGTAAGCTGTGCTGCGCTCTGGGAACAGATTTCCTGTTGAACAGTTACGTTCAACACTACACCCACTAGCCCATCCTTCAGTTAATATCCAGCTTTTAACAGCAGCTAAGAGCAATCACAAAATACACAATGTATCACAGGTTGGGATGACGCCAAAAAAATAAAAAAATTAAAAAATCCATACCCACAGATCTATCCTCCTTGGAGAAACAGTCTTAGGACTTAATACAGAAGTTAATCAGGAACGCCTCTTGCCAAATAACTTGAATTTAAGCAACCCCTTGAAAAAGATGGCCCCCAAAGAAAACTAGCTTTAAAATATTTGCCTACCGCTGTGAATTTGGGACAGCGGAGGGGAAAAGACAAAGGGCAGAGGAATTAGTGTACCTGATGAAGTCCAGGAGAGAAACTTGTGAACTAGTGAAGTTTATTTTAAAAATCTGCGTAACTGAGGTGACTTTTAAACAGCATTTAAAGATGGCTCATTTATGCCGAGACATAAATTTCAAATAATTTAGGTTATCAGTTCCAAAGACTTGGCTGAGAGAGAGCGAGCGAGCAAGAGAGTGAAAGTGTGTGCTGCTGACATGTAACCACTCACACCTAGAAAGTATTGAAATTCAGGACAGTCTCTGCCAGCAGTTTTGTAGCAGGCTAAGCTGGCTACGCAAAGCGGCTCTGTGTTACCCCTTGCCGGCCATCCTGTCCCCTCCTCCCTGTTGGCTGACACTTGTCAGGCCTCTGCCAAGCTGTTTGAGTGAAAAACTGCTGTAAAGGGTGACAAATGGGGGGGGGGGGGGGAGGGGGGGGGGGGGGGGGAAGAAGGAGGGAAGGAAAGGAAGAGCTTTTCTGCCAAGTTTGCACGCTGCCACAGCTCAAAGTCATCAAGTCTGCCAGTCACCAAGGCCAGCACAGCCAAGGAGGT